GATAGATAGATAGATAGATAGATAGATAGATAGATAGATAGATAGATAGATAGATAGATAGATAGATATTGGTAGATAGGTAGATAGATATTGGTAGATAGGTAGGTAGGTAGACAGAAAGGCAGGCAGACAGACAGGCAGACTGTATGTATGTATGTATATGTATGGACGGACAGACAGACAGACAGAAAGAATGCGACAGCAGTGGCACTTTGAGAAAGTAGAGCAAAACCAGAGTGGGAATTGAAGTCCACACAAGTTGCCAAGGTTGAGAAACACGGGCTGAATATATCAACCCAGCCATTCTGGTTTAGAGTTTAGCATGCTGTTTAATTCCGGCTTAGTCAATGAATAAACCATGGCTAAGATCTTCCTGCTCCTTAATGTAGCTGCCCCTCTGCCCCTTCTGCAGCCCCCTGCAGCTGCCCCTCTGCCCCTTCTTCAGCCCCCTTTGGCATCCAATTTTGCAATGCCAACCTCCCCGGGGCAGCGATGCAGCCGACCTCACCCTCTTTGCTTCAACCCAAGGTCCACTTCCATTGGGCCAAGCAAGGGGAGGTACTCTGCACACCCTCAGAGACTCCCAACTTCAGTGAAGCATTCCGCCCATCTTTATGGTCCGCCCGGGAGGAGGAAGGCGTGTGGAAGCAGCCCAGACCAGCGGAGGCGGAGGGAACGATCGCTTGGAAACTAAGCAAGCAACCAAGTGCAGGGCTTGGTCGGAAGAATTGGGCTGCAGAGGGAGGCTAGGTTCTAGGTCCGGGACGGCCATGTAGAGCCGAACCGAACCGAGCCACGCGCCTTGGAGAGTCGCAGCTGCACCCACCCGCATCCTGCACGCATCCTGCTCATCCTGCGCGCAAGCCTGGCTGGCTGGAGAGGCGGAGGCCGGGCGGGCGCTGCGTGCTCCCTTATTCTCCTCTGGGGAAGGGGGCCCTAACACCAGACCACCCATCCCTTCCACTGTGCACCTTGGGAGGGTTTTGCTTTCGGGCCTTGTGGCGCACCTCCACTGCTTCCACTGGAGAGGGCATCCTGCAAGCTAAGGCGCCCTCTTTCCACCACCTCCCACTTCTCCCCCCCAGGCTTGGCAAGGCTCATTGCGTGCGGGTTCCGCATTCGAGGAGCCGGCTACGGAGTGATGAAACAGTCAATGGGCTGCGTGGCTGGCAGTCAGTAAGCCTGTGGGGCCGGCACCTCGAACGCCCCCCTGCCACCTCTTAGCGCCCCCCCCTGCCGGCCCCCTTGCCTCTTACTGCCCCCCTAAGGCATCCCACTGCCCCCCAGGGGGTGGTACTGCCCACTTTGGGAACCACTGCTCTAAAGCATAAAGCTGCATCTTTCAAGCAGTAGCATACTCCCACTGCTGATTTGAGTGAATCAGTTGTTGTTTATCCTGGCATATAGCCTTCTTATATCTGGTATTGGTCATAGTGCTTGGAAATGCTGGTAATCACAGTCAAGAGAAAGCACCAGGTCATAAATGCTGCTTTACCCATTAAGTTATCTTTCCCATATGTAATAAAAAGAGAAAGGTCAAAAATTTCTTAAAATACATCCAAATTAATATGGTTGTTAAATAAG